GAAAAGTTGGAAAAGAATGCAAGAGAAAATCAAAAACTGTTCTACAAGACCCTCAAGAACATGAGGAAGGAGAAAGAGTCCTGCTGATATTCATAAAAGACAAGGAAGGGGCTCTAATTACTACTACAAATGATCTTATGGACAGATGGAAATAATACTTCTCAGAGCTCCTTGGTGTTGAGGAAAGTCAAGACTTAGAAATAACAGACCTCACTACTAAGGAAATCATCCATGGGGATGATAACACCAGGATGGAAGAATTAAAGACATCTATTGAGAAGATTAAGCTGGAGAAAGCAGCAGGACATGATGGTATAACACCAAAGATGGTCAAATATATGGGAGTCACAGGTGAGCACTTTCTGTTGAAGGTTCTCCAGGCAGCCTGGTGTAGCTAACTATACCAAATAATTGGGAGATTGCCGTCATTATACCTATATTTAAAAAGGGGAGAACAGACAATGTGAAAACCACAGACGCATATCCCTCCTCAGTCTTCCTGGTAAAAATTACTCTAGAATTCTCCAGCAGAGACTTAGAAGTCTGATAGAACCACAGCTGGATCAGGACCAATGTGGCTTCAGAGCAAACCGAAGTACTCAAGACCTTATCTTCACACTGAAACAGATGAGTGAAAAAGCCCTTGAATATTAGAGTGAGATGAGACTATGTTTTTTGGATCTAGAAAAGGCATTTGATAAGGTTTCCTGGAGCAAGCTCTGGGACTGCTTGGCAGGGAAAAACATTCCAGCACGCTTGATCAGTGCAATACAAAAGCTGCAGAAATTATGTAAGAACAGCAGACCCAAGGTCAGAAGAATTTAGGACCACTAGTGATGTTAGACAAGGTGATATTCTCTCACCTTACCTCTTCATTCTTATGATGGATGATGTCATCAAGACCTGTAAGGAGAAGACAAAGAAGTACTCTGTAGGGTACTGGAAGATGAGACTAATCTGTTTATCAGAGCTGGCATTTGCAGACGATGTGGCCCTGATAGCTTAATCAGAGGCACACCTTCAGTCCAATTTACCTGTCTGGAAGGAAGAGCTTGAGAAAAGAGGGATGACTATCAGTATCTCCAAAACTAAAACCATGGTGATCTCAAGAGAGGAGAAGAAACAACCAGATCATGATGGGTCAGTATGCATTGGAGCAAGTCAACCAGTTCAAATACCTTGGAGTTGTAATAGACCGAAACGGAGGCATTAAGACCGAGCTGTCTACACGAAAAGCAGCTGCCGGGAGACTCTTTCAGGCCATAAACCGAGGGTTTCTTTGTAAAACAGAAATTGGCAAGAGGACGAAACAGGCTGTTTACCGCTCTACCTACGTACCAGTCCTGACCTATGGGTGTGAGTCATGGGCAATGACAACAGCTCACAGAAGCCAGCTTCAGGCCTCAGAAATGAGATATCTGAGAAAGGTGGTCCAAGTAACAAGAAGGGACAAAGTCCGCAATCAGACAATATGTCAAGATCTTGATACCCAGTCCTTACAAACCCGAGTGGATCAGTCACAGTTATAATAGTTTGAACACGATGGCAGGCATGGGAGGCTAAGAACCAGGGAACAAGACCTCCAAGGCGACCCAGGGTCCGCTGGGAAGACAACATCCGACAGTTCCTGATAGAGGACTGGAATGGAACAAAGCCAGAAAGAAAACTGCTGATAGAGGCATCTGGTGATCTCTCTGGCAAACCTGTACACCCCAAGGTAGAAGAGGAGTGACTAAGAAAGTAAATAAGTAAGACCCCAGAACCCATTCAGGGAGTGAACCAATAAATACATGCCAATTTGTTTATCACGTGATTTGAATGGCCTCATTGTTCGGTTTTCCTTGATTTATTTTTGTGTAATATGTAATTGTTCTTATGTGTATGTTATTAACAGGGCAGATGACACTGTTGTGGTTTACAGATAGGCTGCAATATTTGCACCTTCTGGTCCAACACATCTGGTTTCAGAAAACCCTTCATTTGTTGCCTTTGATACCATGCCATGCCTACTGAGGAGCAGTGGGTCTATTCCCCCCTCTCCCCAAAAAATGGTGGCCTGGAACCCATAAAGTAGTTAGCTAAATCATAAAACAATTAAACACTTTTAAAACTGACAGAAATAACACAAATGTGTTATCAATTTCATAAGCAACAACAATAAAATATTTCAAAACAACATCTGATCACAGAGTAAATTAATGAACATTCAAATTATTTAAACGGATGAAAATAAAAGATAATGTGTATAAATATTACAGAAAAAATTGCACTGTTATCTGAAGGTTACCAGCCACCAATTAACTCTTGGAGTGGGTGTTGCGTTAGAGCAGTGGCTAGATGACTACCTGTTGGGGCAAAGGTTTAGCATGAAAATCCGCGTCAAGGTAGATTTTTGACAACTAATCTTTGCTCCCAGATCTACCCAAACTAAATTTAGTTAGCACAAAATGTGCTAGAAAAAACAGGTAGCCAGCATTATTTTTTTAATAACACCCATCAATATGCCCGATGTGCCACTGGCTTGAAGAAGATCCCTGACTACTTACACCAAGAATCTCATACTTGAAGCCTAACAAAGACCATTCAAAGATCTGTGGCTACAGAATCCTCTTGATGCAGAATACTGTTGGCAAACTTTTGGAAAAAATTGTCGCACAAAGATTGACCACCTACTTGGAACTACATGATAAGTTCCCGTCAAAACTTGGAGGGTACAGGTTGAATAAAGAGACATGGTTCAATGCTGCAGTTTTCGCCTACGATGTGTACGAGGGATTTCAGATTAAAGAAGAGACATGTGCGGCAGTGTTGGACTAAGAAGATGCCTACAATAAAGTACCATATGATTATTTAATGCAATTACAGCTTAAACTAGAAGTAAATCCTATTCTGATCCGCTGGATTGCAGCGGTCCTGTTCCAGAGAAAGATTGTACTAAGATGTGGTAGCTGGTCCTCAGAACCGCAAACGATATGTTCAGGCTTGCCACAGGGATCACCCCTATCACCAGTCTTATTCAACGTTTATACGGTGATGATCACTGAGCAGCAGTTGAATGGAAAGGGAAGGACTTTGTCATTTGCTGATGACATTTTGATTTATCGACGAGGGCGTGATAGACAGGAGATTGCCAGCACAATGTACAAAGAACTCGATCGAATTGCCGCCTGGTGTGACGATTCCAATGCCTATGTCAATCCTTCGAAGGCATCAGCATCATGGTTCTCTTTGAACAATCAGATTGTAAAGTCAGACTTACCAGAAGTGAAAATGCGTGATAATGTATTGATCAGAACCAACGTTATGACGTTTCTCGGGGTGAGGTTCGATCGCAGCTTGTCATTCAGGGAACACGTTGACCATGTGATAACAAAAGCACGCAAAGGTCTATCTGCAATGAAGATTATGGCTGCGTCCAATATCGAGCAAAGACTACTAATACTTCTATTCTACGGTCTGGTCCTTTCCCCCATTGAATACGCTATGGCCATCCTCACTGTCAGTGCTACCCAGATTGAACGACTCGAAAAGGTGCAAAATAAAGCCATGGGCATTATTTTGGGATGTACAAGAGACACATCCTGTGGAGCAATGAGGTATTTACTTGACTTTTCAACAATGAACCAAAGGATCAGGTTGTGGAGGGCTCGGGCATACCTCAAAATATATGCTGATAAGAAACACCCACTGCATCAAGCGCTTTTTAGTGAAAAGGGCGACAGACTGACGAGGGGAAAATCGTGGCTAGGTCGGGCAGAAGATGTTATCAGGCAAATATGCAGCCTAACCGACATCATACCCGGTGCAGAATGGATACCTGTGCCTCAGGCGTTTATTTGTACATTTTCCTGTATTGTCACACTCAACAGGCGATGTAGAGAAGAGAATCCTGTTGCTGTTAATGCAGAGGTCAACGCTCTCATCGGCGAAAATTCAGACGAAGCAGATGCACTAATCTATACAGACGGATCCTTTATACGCCAAAGAAGAAGCGCATGGGCATTTACAGCACGCTTAGCGGGCAGAACAGTCAAAGAAGCCAACGGCGCCTTCTCCATGACAACCAGCAGCATGACGATGGAGGTGATGGCAGTGATGCAAGCGTTTTCCTGGCTTGAAACACAAAAATACACCCGCGTATGTATACTCAGCGATTCAATGAGTATGATTCGGAGGGTTCAGGCAGGTTCAGTGCGAAGACAATGGCTTGAATCATTGCAGAAGTCCACTGTGCGTGGCGTCACCTTTATTTTTGTTCCGGGACACGCAGGCGTCAATGGAAATGAAAGAGCTGACAGGTTGGCTGGATCCGCTATCACTACCGACGGTCAGCCTATGGATCACGCTGATATTATCAATGCCCTCAGAGAAATGGGAAGGATAGAGGACTTTGGTGGCAATGAATCCACATCACTCGCCAGAATGGCAGACTTGGGAATTAAGATCGGCACAGCAAAAACGAGACGCACACCAGCTACCGCCAAAAGACTTGTTAATCAACATAGAACTGGTACTATTAGCCATCGGACGTTGGGGTTCATACTGAGGGGAGGATCTGAGCACCTATGGACATGTCCGGAGTGCAATGATGATAACCCAACTAACTAACTAAATAACTAACTAACTAATCTCATACTTGAAACACTATTTATCTAGACCTGAGTGTATATAGAATTACCTTATTTTAGTAAGGACAGACATTTCCACCCTTGTGTCAGTTAAAACAAGGTATGTGCGTACTATAATGGGGAGACCACTCCGGACATCCAGAGTAACATAGAGGAGTGTTGTCCCACCATGGTGATGATAATAATAATAGTAATAATACAGATAAATAAATATTACATGACAATGTTATAGTAAAGGTGAACATCATGTTTCAATCTCTGACTCAAGTCACAATATCGGCAGAAATAAACCCATGTTAAACAGAACGCAGCCACAAGCAAAAAGAAATTCACCACAACACAAATTATATAAGTTATTTCCAGTGTGTGGCCTTATTTTGGGCAGCAGGGATTGTCCACCATCAAGACAACATCAATGCCGTAGTGTTCCACCAGCTCCATCAGGAACACCCGATCGCCTGTTGGGTCTAACCCTATGCTCTTCATATGATCTGAGGTCAACTGGCGATCCTGTGACTGGGAGATGTCCAGCAGGGTTTGGAATAAACGCTCGTTCATCTCAGTGAAAAAGCTGAAACAATCATGGGAGATGAATTATTAGACGGGCACAGAGACACTGGTATTCAGACACACATACATGAACTTATTCTTCTTCTTCTTAGTATAAACTGCAGTGGAAAGTTTGGGTTATTGGTCCATTTCTGAACTCTGGTCTTGTTCCAGAACTTGAGTTGTGCGTGCATCACCATTTTACAGAATTGGTTTTACTGTATGCAGACTGTTGGTCTCTTACCTTTCAGGCAGATGCATTCCGACTATGAAAGTAACTCCCCTAATAAGTTTCCCTTTACGACTGCTTGTTAGAGGGGCAGTGGATCTATTCATTTTTCCACAGAACCACACTGGAAACATACATGAACAAGGGCTCAGCAGAGGGGAAGAGGAGAACAGATAAACTAAGAAAGACCTGGATGCAGTACTTGGCTGATTGGACAGGCTTTGAACATGCTCATTTCAAGTCCATTGCACCTTCACCACTAGAGGTGGAGGGACCTAATCACACAGTGAACAGAGGCTGATGACGCAGCGACATGCCATGAAATGGGACTATAATGATGATGATGATAATAATGTTACATGAACATACATACACAAAGTCGCAGAGACACATGTGCATGGTTTGAAACAGAGACATACACTTGTGTATATTCTCACACAGTAATACACAGATATATATGTGTATGTGTGTCGTCCACTGAATTGTGACTAAAAAGCTTAATAAAGGGGGAGACATATGCAGGAACAACTGAATGGGCTACAGTCTTTATCAGCAAAAACCGGAGATTTTGTCAGTTACGAACTTAGATCCTCCTTAAACACTGGAAAAGTCCATGAACGCTTGGATCCCATCTTCAGTATCTTCCTTAGCATGTGGCAAGTGATAACATAGGTTCTATGCTAATTTACTATTCTTCTTTAACTACATGTATACTGTTTATATGTGGCAACACCTGTTTTTTAAAGAAGTTTTCGTATCCTTGTCAAGGTTGCCACTTCAACGTCTTCCCCTGAACCATCTACTCATCTCCCCTAAACCATCTACTCATCTTCCCTGAGCCATCTACTCATCTTCCCTGAACCATCTACTCATCCTGCCTCCTTGAGAACATTGGTCCGGTCCAATGCTTTTGCTAGGGAGAGTATCCTGGCCTTCCACATAAGATGCTCTTTATTTTATAAATGCAGTTTTGTCTGTCCTATTCTGTTCCTTTTCTTTCTGATACTGCTTTTATCTGATTTTATCCATGTGCCTAAATGCTTAAACTTTTGTACTTGTCACAAGATAACTCTAGTGACTTTTATCATACATTCAAGCAGTTCTTTTCTTTGACATTACCTTTACAATATTTCACGATACAGGTACGCACTTCCGACATCCCCCCCCCCCCCCCCCCCCCCCCCCCACATCCCAGTAAAACCATGTTAACATGAATTAGAAGGGACCAAAAAATCAAAAGTTCAGTTATAAAAATACCAACCCAGGAGTAATAGATGCATTATGAATAATACATCCCTGCTTTTTATGTTAACCAAGGCTTCATCTTAAGCAAGCTCATATTAACCAACTGAAATGATGTTACATCATACATAAAGACATAAACAGACACGGGTGCATTGTGTAAGACAGAGACAGTACGTTCTGATGTTAGTGTGTTATGTCATACATAAAAACATTAACAAACACGGCTGCTCTGTGTAAGGCAGAGAACGCATATGTGACTGCAGTTACCTAGTTATGATTTCTTCTTCATTTGTGTAAGTTTCTTGTCCAAGTTCTTCAGTGGAGAATTTGTGAGCAGTTCTGAAATGAAATAGGAACATATACTCAGACTGTACAAATACATAACCTAACTTGTAATAGTTTTACAGAGTTTTCTTAACGAGAGCAGGTTTTGCTAGTCACACTGTGAGCACATGCCTCCCTAAAGCACAATATAACACTATCATCTGGAAAGACTAAAAGATGCCAAAAAGAACAACATAGTTTCACATACGTGTATATTTTTTTTTAATGCAGTCATCAAGTCTTCTTCTTCACGTTTACTGGCTGTAAACTCCGGCGGAAAGTTATGGTTGTTTGTTTACCTCTAGACTTTAGTCTTGTTCCAGAACCTGAGTGTTGTGTGCATATCTGTTTAACAGATCTAACTTAATTGTATGCAGACTGTTGGTTCCTTGCCTCTCAGGCAGATGCATTCTGACTTCGAAGGGAGCTCTTAATTAGTCGACTCTTATGACATGCTTGCTGGGGAGACAGTGGGTCTATACTTGTTTTCCCCACAACTGGGCCCCAAACAGGAAAGCCAGAAAGGGAATCTTCAACCGCTGTTAACTACATCAGAAAAGGGCAATCCACATTGCTTAGGCACATCCTGAAAAGGAAAATAATGAGCTTCTTACAACCGGTGGCAGACAAATTAGTTGTAGGGGTGTGGGCTTTCCCTGGTGTCATCACAGAGGGGTGACAAAATGGTGACAATAATTGGTTACATTAAAATATGTGAAAGAGGAGGGGGGGGGGAGGGGGGTTTGACAAAATGGCAAAAATAGGTACTGTTAAATTGTTTAAATATAAATGGTAGGTGGGGGTGGGGTGGGGGAGGGTGGCGAAAATGTTCTGCTACACCACTGCTCACAACACAGGAAATGTGGAGAAGAGAGGAGGGTAATAATAAGTAAACCATATCATTGTATGTGACCTACAGATCATAAAGAAGCACCCTCTTTAACTGAGTATCATTATTAAGCACATTACATAAAAAATCAAAAATTTTAAACTCATTCCTCTCCACAATCTATGATCTCCACTAGCTTGTGTCAGCTCATATGCTGACACACTTCCATCCCGTGACAAGAGGCCATCAAAAATCTTCTTGTGTTGTTTTAATCTGTCTCTATTTCCATAAATCTTTCCAGTTGTCACAAGTTCCAGTTTCTTTTTTTTTTCTCATAATGTGGCCTTCTTATATGTTCACTAGCTGGTTGTTCATCCACTTATGCACCCTAATTTGTTCTAGAACTTGAGTTTTGCATGCACATCTGTCTTACAGATCTGGCTTTTTTGTATACAGACTGCTGGTTCCTTTCCTCTCAGACAGATGCATTCTGATTTAGAAGGAATCATGTGTAATTAGTCGCCTTTTACACTTGATAAGGGGGTGGGGGGGGGGGGGAAGTAGGTCTATTCTGTTTCCCCCACAATGAGGCCTGAAATCCACACAGCAAACTGTCAACAGATCTTAGCCTGTTTCAAAATATCTAAATTACTCATTTTGGCCTAAACTTAATAAACAACATAAATTTCAAAAAATAGCAGCACCGTGGAAACTGACCTGAGGTTGCTGAGTTTTACAAGCCTTTCCTTGTCACCCTCAGTAACTTTCAACAAATCTTTCATAGCTGGAGACCCAGCCTTGACGATCTGATTATCCACATAAATATCATACAGGTGGGTCTTTGATTCAAAGATTTTTTCTGTAGTACCTGGGAGCAATTCATGACACTATCTCAAGCAAATAATACATGTACAAGTTTAAAACCTTAGTCTGTCACAGACCGAGAGGTTTATAATGCGTAGTCTGTCACAGAACGAGAGGTTTATAAAGCTTAGTCTGTCACAGACCGAGAGGTTTACAATGCTTAATCTGTCACAGAACAAGAGGTTTATAATGCTTAGTCTGTCACAGAACGAGAGGTTTACAATGCTTAGTCTGTCACAGACCGAGAGGTTTTCATTGCTTAGTCTGTCACAGACCGAGAGGTTTACAATGCTTAGTCTGTCACAGACCAAGAGGTTTACAATGCTTAGTCTGTCACAGACCAAGAGGTTTACAATGCTTAGTCTGTCACAGACAGAGAGGTTTACAATGCTTAAGTCTGTCACAGACCGAGAGGTTTTCAATGCTTAGTCTGTCACAGACCAAGAGGTTTACAATGCTTAGTCTGTCAGACCGAGAGGTTTACAATGCTTAGTCTGTCACAGATCTAGAGGTCGACTATGCAACTGATGAACAGATGGATTATCTGAGGTGGTAAATAGCAGCATCTGCTTAGCACACACCAAGGCTGGCACCTGATGCTTCTTTAAAAACCTGATTCTGAAAGGCAGAACCGGACCATAGAAGAAGAAGTCAGTCACCTGACTCCTGTTTCAAAAACAGCTGGACTGAGTTGAGTTCAGAACTAGCATGACAGCACTCAGGACATTCCCATAAGTGATCCGCCCCCATCTTCAGCAGCACACAGTTTTATTTTTGAAAGTACCGGTGGCAGTCTGATTCTGTTTGTCCTGCCTTTCCTCTCAGTGTTGACAGTCAGCCAGATCCATGGCCGCTCCCCACTGCACCATTCTCTCCAGATTGTGCAATATATTTTCGCTTCCACACTGTTCCCTCATTCCAAAAGAGCTTTGACCACATCTAGCTTGTCACGCATAAATTTACCAAGTGGTGCGGAACCAGCCATTCTGTCTGTTTGGTTATTTCCCAACTCACCTGCATATCTTACAGAATGTTGAATTAAGGATCGTCATCATAGCACTCGGGACACTATGTCCCCATCTTCAGCAGCAAACGAAGAGTTCCAATTCTGATGATACCAGTTACTGTCTGATCATATATCCATCTCATCCTTCCCCTGAGTGTTAAGCATCGGCCAGATCCCATGGTAACTCCCCACAGCACCATTCTCCTTAGACCGTAATGATCTATTTGCGCTTCCGCACTGTTCACTCGCTCCCAGAAGGCCCTCACAACATCTAGCTTGTCATACATCAGTTCACCACCAAGTGGTGCAGAATTAGCCAGTCTATCTGTCTGCTTATTTCCCAATACACCAGCATAACCTGGAGAGAATATCCGAAGGATGTTAACCACCCAGGACCTCTGAAGTGAAGCTTGCCACTCTGCACATAGCACACCTGTCTCCACCTTTCTCAACATGCTCTGTGAGTCAATTACAATCACGGCATGTGTGTACAGCTGATTCTAAAGCAAACGGAATGCAGCAGTGACTGCCTCCACCTCCATTCTCAAAATAGACCTTGTGATATCATATGCCAGGCTTTGTTGTACTAAGTGACATCCATTCACTTTTGCTATGAACCCCCATGCACTTGGTCTCAACATACAGCCATGAGTTTAGATAATCATATCTCTTGGGCGGGAATTGTCATGAATCATTTGTTGAACTTCTGATTCTGCAGCACCAGCTGGCCAGTCCCTGCACTCATGACCCAAAGTGATAAGAACCCTACACAAGTCTGAAACCTGCTTGGCCACTTCGACCCACTCCTCACCTCGCACAAATTTATCAAGCCTGCACACAAGGCTGATTGTGTCTTCAGCTTGTGTCATCCAAGACATTGCTCTTTTCAGTCTGTGACCCTTAGCTCTATCCAGGGCTTCATGCAGGAGGTGCTTCTTGTCTGCAACTACTCTGAGATATGACTTTGCCTGCAGAACATTGAGCCTATCTGCAATATTAGGCAGTGCAAGCATATATCGCAAACATAGTACCAGGGTATCTCTTGTACATCCCAGAATTACCCGTATTCATTCTGTATGCGTTCAAGTTTAATCAACTGACTCTTTGATATGGTAAGCATTCAAAGTCCACAATCTATTATCAACAGGATCACATGATGGAACACTATAAACAGCATTCTTTGTTCAATGTCCACTGCTGCCATAAACTTGAAAGCATTAAGTTCTTTTTTGCATTTCACCACAACAACCTCCACATGATCCCTGAAGGACAGGCTTCTATAGAAAATGATACCCAGGTACCTCGGTTTGCTTTCTCTTTTGATGTTACTGTTCTTAACTGTGAAGCTTGGAACATTAGCTCTTACAATTCTATTGTCCAGAGAGCATCACAAAACAGCCGCCTTTTCTGAGTTGATGACAGCACCCATTTCTGCACACCAGTCAGTCACTTTGTCTACAGCTGCCTGTAGTTCTTGCCTATTACACTCCTGACTGTATGCAAGAGCATGATCAGCAAATGTCAATATCCTTCCATTACCTGGTGCTTCAATTTCTGCAATCTTTCTTGTAAACACATTGAAGACCACTGATAAAATTGCAGAACCCTGGGGTAGTCCCGGGGCGATATTACATGGTTCTGAGCTCCATGTACCCAGGCAGGCGCAACCATACGTGAATGCAGAACAACCACCTTCCAGTTCACAAGCCAGGGACAAACCCCCTTCTCCGTGAGTGCAGTTAGCAAAATATCATATCTGACTCTTTTGTAGACATCCTCAAGATCAAGTGCTGCCACAACTGTCTCTTGTCTGTTCTAAAAGTCCTCATAAACATCAAAAGCAAAAGTAGCTGCATTTGACCAGGTATCTTTTCATCGCCGGTAACTACCCAAAACTTTTGGCAGGAGCTCTTCCCTTTCCAGCAATAATCTTCTCAAGCACCTTGCCAAAAGGATTTTGTAGGGGGATAATCCTAAAGAGTATCTACCAATAACATTTGCTGATGAAACTTTTATTTTACAGATTTATTTATTTTTTACAAATACAAATACAATCAAAGAAAAAACCAACAAAAATATTGACAAAAAAGCAAAAGCAACATTAAATATTTTAAAATACAAACCAAATATCCCAACTATAACCTAACCAGAGCTATGGATTGGTGGATTTACCCTATCTTACAAAAATTGATATAAAAAATATCTATGACAAGTACTGCTTTGATGCAAAGAGCAAATCAAGTATTAGGACAGTTGGTGTTCCCACACCTAACCCAACCACTATTTCCATTTCCTAGATGAATGTCTGCAAGGCAACATATCTACTGGATGGCATCCTCAGCGTGACCCATGCAAGATTTGAATCTTTTAAGCCTGTTATTTTTAGCCTTGAATACTTCATCGTGAAGCGGGCATTGCAATTCTGATTTTACTTTGAAGAGGCCCTAGAAGTCTGATTCTGTTCTTCATTGTGGGAATGTCCAAGAGGTATCACATAGACTGCCAAGAGATGTCCCAAGTGAACCCCAGAATAACAAACATTGCTTTGTTTTTCAATTTGTCCAGTCTCTTTTTTCTGTGTAGCATTAAGTGTCATTAAAGCCAGTGCATTCTCAATGGTGGAGAGGACTAATTCTTGGTATAGTTTTCCCATTGTAAATTCAAATATTGTGGACACAAACAATACATTTCACAATTTTTCCCCTGAAATATTTTTGCTTAGCTCATCAAGTACACTACCGCAGATTTTGTCTGGCACACTATTACTAGCAGTGCTTAATTATATGTTAGTGTAACTCCACAGTAATGCAAATGATGAGATACAGCTTCTTTGTCTTCTTCGGCTGTAAACTCTGGTGGATAGTTCTGGTTCTTCATCCACTTCTGGACTTTTGTCTTGTGAAAGAACTTGTGTGCTAACTCCATTTTACAGATCTGGCTTATCTGTATGCAGACTGTTCATTCCTTGTCTTTCTGGCAGATGCACTGACGCAGAAGGAAACTCCTAATTAGTCATCTCTTATGACATGCATGTTAGGGAGGCATGAGTCTATTTTTGTTTTCCCCATAATAAGGCCTCAGAAACCATAAAAGGAACAAGATATGGTGAAATATGCCAGAAAATGAATTGTGCAAGATTTGAGAGGAAGGGGGGGGGGGCATTTTTCATATGTCTCACTGCCACCATCTTAGACCTGCATTTCCCTGTGTAGGCTCCTGGCCCCCTTTTTGGGTTTTAAAAAAAATGAACAAACCCACTGCCTGAGAGGTTTGGAATAGACCCACTGCCTGAGAGGCAAGGAACACACCCACTGCGAGAGGGAAGAAACAGACATCCTGCCTGAGAGGGAAGAAACAGACTCACTGACTGAGAGGCAAGGAGCACACCCACTGCCTGAGAGGCAAGAAACAGACCCACTGCCTGAGAGGCAAGGAGCCCCACTGCCTGAGAGGCAAGGAGACCCACTGCCTGAAAGGCAAGGAGACCCACTGCCTGAGAGGCAAGGAGACCCACTGCCTGAGAGGCAAGGAGACCCACTGCCTGAGAGGCAAGGAGCCCCACTGCCTGAGAGGCAAGGAGCCCCACTGCCTGAGAGGCATGGAACAGACTCACTGCCTGAGAGGGAAGAAACAGACCCACTGCCTGAGAGGGAAGAAACAGACCCACTGCCTGAGAGGGAAGAAACAGACCCACTGCCTGAGAGGCATGGAAAAGACTCACTGCCTGAGAGGGAAGAAACAGACCCACTGCCCGAGAGGGAAGAAACAGACCCACTGCCTGAGAGGGAAGAAAAAGACTTACTGCCTGAGAGGGAAGAAACAGACCCACTGCCTGAGAGGCATGGAAAAGACTCACTGCCTGAGCGGGAAGAAACAGACACACTGCCTGAGAGGGAAGAAACAGACCCACTGCCTGAGAGGCAAGAAGCAGACCCGCATGAGAGGGAAGAAACAGACTGACTGCCTGGGATGCAAGAAGCAGACCCACTGCCTGAGAGGAAAGGAACAGACCCACTGCCTGAGAGGGAAGAAACAGACCCACTGCCTGAGAGGGAAGAAACAAACCCACTGCCTAAGAGGCAAGAAACAGACTCACTGACTGAGAGGCAAGGAGCACACCCACTGCCTGAGAGGCAAGAAACAGACCCACTGCCTGAGAGGGAAGAAACAGACTCACTGTCTGAGAGGGAAGAAACAGACTCACTGTCTGAGAGGGAAGAAACAGACCCACTGCCTGAGAGGGAAGAAACAGACCCACTGCCTGAGAGGGAAGAAACAGACCCACTACCTGAGAGACATGGAAAAGACTCACTGCCTGAGAGGGAAGAAACAGACCCACTGCCTGAGAGGGAAGAAACAGACCCACTGCCTGAGAGGGAAGAAACAGACTCACTGCCTGAGAGGGAAGAAACAGACCCACTGCCTGCCTGAGAGGGAAGAAACAGACCCACTGCCTGAGAGGCAAGAAGCAGACCCGCATGAGAGGGAAGAAACAGACCCACTGCCTGAGAGGAAAGAAACAGACCCACTGCCTGAGAGGGAAGAAACAGACCCACTGCCTGAGAGGGAAGAAACAGACCCACTGCCTGAGAGGGAAGAAACAGACTGACTGCCTGAGAGGCAAGAAGCAGACCCACTGCCTGAGAGGCAAGAAGCAGACCCACTGTCTGAGAGGGAAGAAACAGACTCACTGCCTGAGAGGCAAGAAGCAGACCCACTGCCTGAGAGGCAAGAAGCAGACCCACTGTCTGAGAGGGAAGAAACAGACTCACAGCCTGAGAGGCAAGGAGCACACCCACTGCCTGAGAGGGAAGAAACAGACTCATTGCCTGAGAGGCAAGGAGCACACCCACTGCCTGAGAGGGAAGAAACAGACTCATTGCCTGAGAGGCAAGGAGCACACCCACTGCCTGAGAGGGAAGAAACAGACTCATTGCCTGAGAGGCAAGGAGCACTCCCACTGCCTGAGAGGGAAGAAACAGACTCATTGCCTGAGAGGCAAGGAGCACACCCACTGCCTGAGAGGGAAGAAACAGACTCATTGCCTGAGAGGCAAGGAGCACTCCCACTGCCTGAGAGGCAAGGAGCAGACCCACTGCCTGAGAGGGAAGAAACAGACTCACTGCCTGAGAGGCAAGGAGCAGACCCACTGCCTGAGAGGGAAGAAACAGACTCACTGCCTGAGAGGCAAGGAGCACACCCACTGCCTGAGAGGCAAGGAGCACACCCACTGCCTGAGAGGCAAGAAACAGACCCACTGCCTGAGAGGGAAGAAACAGACTCACTGTCTGAGAGGCAAGGAGCACACCCACTGCCTGAGAGGCAAGAAACAGACCCACTGCCTGAGAGGGAAGAAACAGACCCACTGCCTGAGAGGCAAGAAACAGACCCACTGCCTGAGAGGGAAGAAACAGACCCACTGCCTGAGAGGCAAGAAACAGACCCACTGCCTGAGAGGCAAGGAGCACACCCACACCCATTGCCTGAGAGGTAAGGAACACACCCACTGCCTGAGAGGCAAGAAACAGACCCACTGCCTGAGAGGGAAGAAACAGACCCACTGCCTGAGAGGCAAGAAACAGACCCACTGCCTGAGAGGCAAGAAACAGACCCACTGCCTGAGAGGGAAGAAACAGACCCACTGCCTGAGAGGCAAGAAACAGACCCACTGCCTGAGAGGCAAGGAGCACACCCACACCCATTGCCTGAGAGGTAAGGAACACACCCACTGCCTGAGAGGCAAGAAACAGACCCACTGCCTGAGAGGGAAGAAACAGACCCACTGCCTGAGAGGCAAGGAGCACACCCACACCCATTGCCTGAGAGGTAAGGAACAGAACTAACTGCATACAAATAAACCAAATATGTAAAATAGATGCCGGAGTTTACAGCCAGGGAAGAAGAAGAAGGAGAAGATCTGCATCAATTCTATCTGTTTGCCTCTTCTACTGCTAATCATTTTTTCTTGTGTTTGTGTATAAGGTTTTACTATCATTATCCTTATCCAGGCACTGTTGTTACCTACTCATAATGGCCAAGGTATATACAACAACCATTTTAAAAATCCCATCTACACTTTTCCCTACATTGTGCACACATATCAGATTAACAGTTTATTGAAAACTTACAAGCAACATAAGCAACTTCACTTTCCAAAGCTTCAATGTCTGCCACATTAACATAGAAGTGAGGCCTCAACTCTATACTGTTCAGCCCAGGTATTGAATGATTTGCCAAGCAGCAAGCACAGTAAACTGAAAAAAGAATGGCACATTATATTTTTGGTCAGATTACTCTGAGAAATGGCACAAGTTGTCCAACCACATCCCCCCCCCCCCCCCTTCTAGAATTGCATACTGAAAGGATCCTCTGAGATATGGTACAAGTTGGTTTTCCCCCTTCTAGGGCTGTACACTGAAAGGATACTCAGAGAAATAGTACAAGTTGCTTTTCCCCCTATTAGGACTGCATACTGAAAGGATACTCTGAGAAATGGTACAAGCTGCTTTTCCTCCTTCTAGGACTGCAGACTGAAAGGATACTCAGTCTGAAGATTGGCACAAATTGGTTTTTTTTTTCCCTTTCTAGGAATGCACACTGAAATTATCTCTGAAAAATGGCATAAGTTGTTTCCCCCCTTCTAGGAATGCACACTGAAATGGCATAAGCTGTTTTCCCCATTCTAGGATTGCATACTGAAAGGATACTCAGTCTGAGAAATGGCACAAACTGTCTTCCCCCTTCTGGTATTGCATACTTAAATTATACTCAATCTGAGGAATGACACAAGTTGTGTCTTCCCCCTTCTAGGACTGCATACTGAAAGATTAATACCCAGTGACTCTGGCTCAAACAGACAATATCTGAATGATAATTAACAGCAGCAAATTGCAGAAACCCAGTTCAGCCTTGCAATACAGTTATACTGGGTCACCCAATGGTTACAATGTAACACAAAATCCAATTTGGATAGTTGAATGTGATAGTTCTTATTAGAAGTTCTCTCATTTTTTGCTATGATGCGAAACTGTCTTAACATCCTCAACAAATTATATCCTGAAGACAAAAACATACAATTTACCTCTGTAACATACCACTCCTATTGGTGGAGGTGAGAAGAAGATTATTCTCCGCTGCAATAATGCAAACTTCCACAAGACAAAGATCTGTTCTCCAAAGAACTTGATAAACTGACTGAAGCACCCAGCTGGGTGAGTTATCTGAGAATTCAAGCACACAAGATGATGGCACCAACAGACATTTCTTATCTAATTTTATCATCATCACATCCCTTTTTGGTGACTAAATAGAGGTTTTCCCTTCAATGTCAGGGTGTTTCTACCTGACAGGTGAAGAACCAACAGCCTGCATACAAGCTTACAAAACCTGTCAAGCGGTTGTGCGAGCAAAACTCAAGTTCGAAAACAAAATTAAAGTCCAGCCGCGGACAAACGACCAGAACTTTCCACCACAGTTTACAGTCAGTAAGGCTAGAACATAGTGCCTTATTGGGTCACCAACTGTCACTGACTGTCTGCTAGGATCCCTCCTCCTTCTCTGATGGTCAGATATACTGGACCTGATGTTTTTATATCTGAGACCCATCCAGTGAACTAAATTTTGGATCCTAGTTTTCCTTGGCCTGCCCTTTCTCCACTTCCCCTATAACAAGACCCGTAGTTATTGTTTCAGCCTTCTTCAGCATCTGTGCTTAAAAGGTTGGTTGGCACATTGTGAGTTTCTAAACACATGCAGCACTGTGAACAGTCACTTATAACTTTTAAGTAAGTCAGTATAGAGTTTCTGACCATACTTAACCACTTAAATAGTTTCTGATCACATGAAACAAAGTAGACAGTTTCTGATCATGTGTAACAAAATAAATAGTTTCTGACCAGTATGTAACCAGTAAAATAGTTTCTGATCATATGAAACAAAATTAGTTTCTGACCAGTATGTAACCAGCAAAATAGTTTCTGATCACATGTAACAAAATAATTAGTTTCTGACCAAATGTAACAACTGAAATAGTTTCTGATCATATGAAACAAAACTAGTTTCTGACCAGTATGTAACCAGTAAAATAGTTTCTGACCACATGTTACAAAATTAGTTTCTGACCAGTGTGTAACCAGTAAAATAGTTTCTGATCACATGTAAAAAAATAACTAGTTTCTGACCAAATGTAACAACTGAAATAGTTTCTGATCACATGAAACAAAGCAGCAAGTTTCTGACCACATGAAACAAATGAAATAGTTTCTGACCAAATGTAACACAGGAAATAGTTTCTGACCCTATGTGATGAAATAAATAATTTCTGACCACATGTAACAACTGAAAAAGTTTCTGATCACATGAAACAAAGTAAACAGTTTTCTTATAACACGAAACCAAGTAAACAGTTTATGACCACGTGTAACAATTTAAATAGTTTCTGATCAAAGTGTACAGTTTCCAAGTACAGGTAACAAAATAAAACATGCCATCCATATTTGCTTCCCAGGGCATTACCAGTACCTTTTTTAGGTAGGGCTGACCTATTCTTATACTTCTTCTACCTTTCTATCAACCAATGGAGCATAGGCCTCACACCAAGTCGTTCTATCCTTCACCATTGCATAGAGCTCTGCCCATGTCCCCCCCCCCCCTTCTTTCTAATTTCATTCTCCAGCTCTCTTCTCCGTGTGTTTTTTGGCCTTTTTTTATTCCTATGCCCCTGTGGGTTCCAATGCAAAGACATTCTTGTTATGCTGTTCTCCTGTTTTCTCAGTATGTGTTCTATCCAACGCCAGCCTCTTTTCCTCACCTCTTGGTCCACTGGAGCCTGTTTAGTTCTCTCCCAAAGCTCTACATTAGTTATTCTATCATACCATTTGATTCCCTCTATTCTGCGCAGGCACCAGTTAATGAATGTCTTTAATTTATTAGTAATTGCCTTAGTTGTTCTCCATGTTTCCGCCCCATACAAAAGTACTGATTTGACATTAGAAATAACAATTTTTAGTTTTGTGTTTCTTTTAATTTCTTTTGACCTCCACAAATTCCCTAGTGCTATGAAAGCGCCTCCTTTTGTATTCTTATTTTAATATCTCTATCAGTTCCTCCATCTTTATCTATATTACTGCCCAAATAGGTGTAGACTCCACTTCTTGGAGTGGGGTGCCATTAAGAGAAACCACATTACTATTTGCCTGATTTATTCTCATTATCTTTGTCTTTCCTTTATGGATTTTCAGACCAAGCTGCTGTGATCTCGCATCCAGTATATTTAATTTATCTTGCATCTGATTCCCTGAATGGGACAGAAGAGAAATATCATCAGCGAAGTCCAGATCACCAAGCTGTTTTGTAGGGGTCCACTGAATTCCATTCAGTGTTAGCAGTTACTGTTTTCATAATCCAGTCTATAGCCAGTAAAAATAAGAGAGGCGACAAAAGACATCCCTGTAGCACAACTGTTTTTATTTGAAATGTATATGTTAGCTTTCCCTCATGAAGAACTCGAAGGGTTGACCTGTAAAGCAAGGTAAATTTTTCCCCAAATCCGCCCTGTGCCACTACCACAGATGTACTGCAACAACCACAGATGTACTGCAACAACCATAGATGTATTGCCACTACCACAGAGGTACTGCCTATACCACAGATGTACTGCAACAACCATAGATGTACTGCAACAACCATAGATGTATTGCCACTACCACAGAGGTATTGCCTATACCACAGATGTACTGCAACAACCATAGATGTACTGCAACAACCATAGATGTATTGCCACTACCACAGAGGTTCTGCCTATACCACAGATGTACTGCTACAACCACAGATGTACTGCAACAACCGTAGATGTACTGCAACAACCATAGATGTATTGCAACTACCACAGAGGTACTGCCTATACTACAGATGTACTGCTACAACAAAGATCAGGTATTGCCACTACAACAGAGGTACTGCCATTACCACAGAGGTACTGCCATTACCACAGAGGTACTGCCATTACCACAGAGGATCTGCCATTACCACAGATGTACTGCTACAACCAAGATGAGGTACTGCCACTACCACAGAGGTATTGCCACAACCATAGATGTACTGCCACTACCACAGAGGTATTGCCACAACCACAGATATACTGCTACAACCAAGAAGAGGTACTGCCACTACCACAGAGGTACTGCCACTACCACAGAGGTACTGCCATTATCACAGAGGTACTGCCATTACCACAGAGGTACTGCCATTACCACAGAGGTACTGCCATTACCACAGAGGTACTGCCATTACCACAGAGATACTGCCATTACCACAGAGGTACTGCCACTAAAACAGAGGTACTGCCACTACCACAGAGGTACTGCCATTACCACAGAGGTACTGCCAATACCACAGAGGTACTGCCAATACCACAGAGGTACTGCCACTACCACAGAGGTACTCCCAATACCATAGATCTACTGCCACAACTGCAGATCTATGCTGCAACCATAGATCTACTGCAACTACCACAGATCTACTGCCACGACTACAGATGTACTTCCACTACCACAGAGGTACTGCCATTACCACAGAGGCACTGCCATTACCACAGAGGTACTGCCATTACCACAGAGGTACTGCCATTACACCAGAGGTACTGCCTATACCACAGATGTACTGCAACAACCACAGATGTACTGCAACAACCATAAATGTATTGCCACTACCAAGAGATACTGCCTATACCACAGATGTACTGCTACAACCACAGAGGTACTGCCACAACCACAGATGTACTGCAACAACCATAGATGTATTGCCACTACCACAGAGGTACTGCCTATACCACAGATGTACTGCTACAACCAAGATGAGGTATTGCCACTACCACAGAGGTACTGCCATTACCACAGAGGTACTGCCATTACCACAGAGGTACTGCCACTACCACAGAGGTATTGCCACTACACAGAGGTACTGCCATTACAACAGAGGTACTGCCACTACCACAGAGGTATTGCCACTACCAAAGAGGTACTGCCACTACCACAGAGGTACTGCCTATACCACAGATGTACTGCTACAACCAAGATAAGGTACTGCCACTACCACAAAGGTATTGCCACAACCATAGATGTACTGCCACTACCACAGAGGTATTGCCACAACCACAAATGTACTGCTACAACCACAAATGTACTGCTACAACCAAGAAGAGGTACTGCCACTACCACAGAGGTACTGCCATTACCACAGAGGTACTGCCATTACCACAGAGGTACTGCCACTACCACAGAGGTACTGCCACTACCACAGAGGTACTGTCATTACCACAGAGGTACTGCCACTACCACATAGGTACTGCCAATACCATAGATCTACTGCCACAACTGCAGATCTACTGCTACAACCATAGATCTACTGCTACTACCACAGATCTACTGCCACGACTACAGATGTACTGCCACTACCACAGAGGTACTGCCACAACCATAGATCTACTGCCACTACCATAGATCTACTGCCACAACCATAGATCTACTGCCACTACCATAGATCTACTGCCAATACCATAGATCTACTGCCACAACCATAGATCTACTGCCACTACCATAGATCTACTGCCAATACCATAGATCTACTGCCACAACCATAGATCTACTGCCACTACCACACATGTACTGCCACTACCACAGATCTACTGCCACAACCATAGATGTACTGCCACTACCACAGATGTACTGCCACTACCACAGGGGTACTGCCACTACCACAGAGGTACTGCCACTACCACAGAGGTACTACCACTACCACAGATCTACTAGGGCTACCAATCATCTACTGCCATTACCACTGAGTCAGCTACTGACCTCTCAGCTACTCTTACAAGACATCTTCAGAATATATAATGCAGTATCTCAATTCACTTACCCTCATCTCGGGGAGCAAATCTCGACTAGGAGTAGAAGGTGTGGATCTCGGAGACGATGCCTTTAGTGTATCGGATGTTCCATCAGAAGGCAGGATTCCCCTCCGGTCATTATAAAATGCAAGCAGTTGAGAATAGTTTCCTGGAGTTTCTAACTGATGTCTGGTTTGTAAAAGCAGCAAAATTAAAGAAATATTTAATAAAGATCTTCAAGTTGAGTTGAGTCAAGAATTGACATCACAGCACTCGGGGCATTCCCGTGCCTGCTCCGTCCTCATCTTCAACAGCCAGAGCAGAGTTCCAATGGTACCGGTCACAATCTGGGTAAATGTCAGTATTGCCTTTCCTCTAAGTGTAGTCAGCTGGCAAGACCCTCTAGTTACACCCAGGTGCCACATTCTCTCAGGGCCATAATAATCTTCTTTCTCTACTGATTCCGTTGCTTGTTCCCAAAGGGCCTTGACCACATCTGGCTTGTCATGTATCAGTTCACCACTCAGTGGTGCAGATCCAGCCAATCTGTCTGGCTGTTCATTATTCACCATGCCGGCATGGCCTGGAAAAAAGATCCAAAGTCTGCTCATTACCCGTGACCTTTCCAGTGAAGCTTGCCACTCTCGAAGCATCCCTGTCTTCTCCTTTCTCAGCATGCTTTCAGAGTCTGTTACAATTACAACCTGTGCATGACTCTTGTTCTCTAGCCACCGGAGAGCTGCAGTTACTGCCTCCACCTCCATATCATGCTAGATGTGGTGTCATATGCTAGGCTGTCTTGGACTGAAGATTTTCCATTGGCTTTCGCTACGAACCTCTAGGCACTTCTCTTTCCTCTCAGCACTGAACCATCTGTACAGATAACCAGATCACCTGGGCATGAATTATTGTGAATCAACTGTTGGATTTCAACCTCTGTAGTACCCGCTGGCCACTCTCTGCACACCCGGACCAATGTGATCATAACCCTACACAGTTCAGACCTTTCTGCTGGTACTCTGACCCATTGTTCTCCTCGCCCAGTGTTCTCCAGCATGCATACTTGTCTTATTGTGTCTTCTGCTTGAGCCATCCACGATTTTCCCCTTTTCAGCCTCTGACCCTTGCCTGCAACCAAAGCTTCATTCAGAGGGTGTTCCCTGTCTGCAGCTTCTCTGAGGTATGACTTAGCCTGCAGTACCTTTAGCCTATCTGCAATAGTTGGCAATGCAAGGATGTATCCCATGTACACAATCGGGGTGTCCTTTGTACAACCGAGGATCAGCCGCATAGCTTCATTCTGTATGCGCTCCAGTTTCTCTAGCTGACTCTTCGAGACAGTGAGTAACCCCAATCCATAATCAATCACTGAGGTGATTAACTGCTGGTAAAGTGTGAACAGCATTCTCTGCTCCATGTCCATCGCTGCCATAATCTTTAATGCATTTATACCTTTTTTGAGCCCTTGTCACAACTCCCTCTATGTGATCTCTGAAAGACAAACTTCTGTCAAAGGTGATTCCCAGGTAACGTAGTCTGCTGTCTGTTTTGACGTCCCTGCCAATTATTTTGAGTCTAGGAACATCAGCTCTAACAATCTTGTTGTCCAAAGAGCACCACAGGATGGTTGCTTTTCTGGGTTGATTACAGCACTCATTTCTGTACACCAGTCGATCACCTTATCTACTGTTGCCTGTAACTCTTTAGCTATTTGATTCCGATCTCTCCCCTTCCTATATACAAGAACATCATCTGCAAATGTCAAAATTTTGTGTCTGTGTTATTTAAAAATCTGACCTGTCTCTTTTTAAATTTGATTAACCTCTCATATTCATTCTCAAGTCCTCTATATTATATTAATTTATCAGTTAATAAATATAATGCTTTTTTTTCAGCACTGCTGTAACAGAAACTGTAGTGTGGGTCCCAGTATCTTTTATAAGACACTCTGGGTGAGCACTGGCATCTTCATCATCATTATCATCATCATCATCATCAGGTGCCCTGCCAACTGGCATAGGCATTCATGCATCTCTATATATCTTGGTGCCTTGACCTCTGGATCAGTTCCAATGACGATATCCCTCCGTGCCACCATCACAATCCATCCTTTATCTTCTCTCTCGGTCTGCCTTTCCTTTATCTACCGCTGATCTTTCCAGTCATCATAATATTCTCCAAAGGCCCCCCCCCCCCAATACATGACTAAAAAACAGTGCTACTCTTTTCCTTATAGCTTATTTATCTTTTTTTGTTAGCTTCTTTCAAGCAATCCTCATTAGTTTTTCTGGCAGCCCAAGGGAGTCTTAACATTCATCTGAGGAACCACATCTCCGTCACCGCCAAGTTCTTTCTACTTTATGCATCCACATTCCATGCAATATAGGCTCTACATAACATTTTAGTACTCACTTTCGGACATCCAAAAGGAGAAACCTGTTGCACAAGATGTTCTTTATTCTGTGCCTTAGCCTGGCCTATTCTGCTCTGAATTTCTGACACACATCTTCCATCCAATGTTATGATTGTACCCAGATATTTGAATTTATCAACTTGGATTACCTTTCTACCTTCTATTCTAATAGCACACTGTGATGGTATTCTTTTCTTTGGTATAACCATCACCTCTGTTTTCTTTATATTCAAGGACAGATCCTTTTTTCACTTTCCCTCAACACAATGTCCAATAATTGATCTAGATCATTTGCATTTTCAGCTATCAGTACTGAGTTATTTGCATAACCTGTGTTGTTTATATTATAACATCCCAGTCTTCTTCTTCTTCGCGTTCACCAGCTGTACACTCTGGCGGAAAGTTCTGGTTGCTCGACCACTACTGAACTGCAGTCCTGCTCCAGAACCTGAGTGTTGCGTGTGCATCAGTTTTACAGATCTCATTCTCTTGAATACAGACTGTTGGTTCCTTGCCTCTCTGGCAGATGCACTCGGACTTCAAAGGAAGCTTCCCAATTAGTCGACTCTTACGACATGCTTTTGGGGAGGCAGTGGGTCTATTCTTGTTTCCCCCACAATGAGGCCCCAGAACCCACACGGGGACCTCCCACTCTAATTCATTGTGTTTCTTTGATCTCTCTCAGTATCATCTCACTGTAGAGAGCAAAGACGTCAAGTGACAAAACAGATCTTCTTCTTGCTCCTTGATTGATCTGTTCCTATGTGCCCATTCTATTTTCCATTTTAATAGCAGCCATTTGCTTCCAGTAAATATTCTTCAGAATTCTGAGATCATTCCCATCAATATTAATATCTGTCAACATTTTGATTAGTTTCTCATGTTTCATTTTATCAAATGCTTCTGTGTATTCTATAAAGTATAAATGCAAGTTTCTCTGGGTTTCAACTGGCACCTTAGTTTCTGAATAAATGCATTCAGTTTGTGTAGGTATTGAAACGTTTAATCACATTATGTTATTATAAATTATACAGTTATGTGTAATTATTACCTAAATAGTTCTTTTTATGCCAGCTTGTTTACACTACTTCAAGTGCTCTACCTCAAGTGCAGTGACATCGATTGCAGAATCGTCATGTTCTGACACACATACACTTCTATGATCTGGCTAATTATGACCTTCAGCATTTTGTGGACACACAGTATAGGGGAAAAAAGCAAAAGAATGATAAAATTCTACAATTCATCATATAGTCAATCAATCAATGAATCAGTCATACCTTACTTGAGTCTCCAGAAATTGCATGTGACGATATAAGGTTGTATATGAAAGGGACAAAATACCCACTGACTTCATTCGCGCTCCTCTTTCTATCTCACTGTCTACCCGCATGTTTTCAAAACAGGCCAGCCCAAACAAGTTGTCTTTACGAAAATATCTGGGAACACAAATCAAAAGAAAAAGAGCAGTTCAGCAGTTTGAGCAATTAGCATTGTAATCAATTTACATTTTTACTTCTTAACATTAGCAAACTGTCAGCAAACTCCTGCTGTATGATCAAATCACTACATGATATAACTTCAATACATTACAGGATACCATATTCTCCTACAAACCACCTTCTCGACTATATTCGATGCATTATATCATGTCATATTCTCTTATAAAAAACACTTTCTCAGTTACTTTCATTTCATCATAACATAACAAAATTCTCCTAATTATTCCTTTCCCAGTTGTTTTCATTTCATGAAATCAACTCTTATATATAATGCCATATTCTTTTATCAATAAATTTATCAGTTACTTTCTTTACCTTAAACTGAATTCTTTTGTAATGAACTTCTCAGTTACTTTCATTACATTATATCACATCATATTATATCCTGTAATATTATACCATCAATCCCTTTTCAGTTACATTGTTGTTGTTTTTTTAATTTACTCTATACCTTGCTGATTTCTGTTATAAGAAAAAATTGTTGGTGACTTTCATTATATTATAGAATATTCCTCTATCAATCAGTGTTCAAGTTATTTTCATTACACAGTATCATGCTTTATTCTTCTATCAATTAGTTTATCAGCTACCTTATTTACATTAAATTATATTCTTAGTAATTTTTTCATTTACTTTCATCACATTATGTCTTGCTTTCTTCTTCTTCTTCGCGTTCACCAGCTGTAAACTCTGGCGGAAGGTTCTGGTTGCTCGTCCACTACTGAACTGCAGTCCTGCTCCAGAACCTGAGTGTTGCGTGTGCATCAGTTTTACAGATCTCATTCTCTTGAATACAGACTGTTGGTTCCTTGCCTCTCCGGCAGATGCACTCCGACTTCAAAGGAAGCTCCCCAATTAGTCGACTCTTACGACATGCTTTTGGGGAGGCAGTGGGTCTATTCTTGTTTTCCCCACAATGGGGCCCTGGAACCCACACGGGGGTGTCTTGCTTTCAAAGCATCTATCTTAAATTTTCTTCTGCATATCTTTATGCTTCTTCTAGTTGTGTGTGTGCATGTCAGAAAGAGAGAAAGACAGAGAAGAAGAGAAATAGCTACAGTAGCACAGTAGTTAGCACACAGCTGCTTGGTTGTTGGTAGTATATTCTAGTCAGGTTTTTTTTTATAGATAAAATGGTGCGGTACTCACCAAAAAGTGTCTTTAAAAACGCCTTAAAAAGTGTTTATTTCAGTTGCGCGGAAAAAAACTAGTGCCGGTACTGTTGTGTACTGCCAGAAGAAGCCTGGTTCTAGTCTGTATGAGACTTTTTCTTAACTAACCTTGGCCGACAAGTCAGCCCAGCCTAAAACAGGTACCAGGAAATATTCTGGGAAGTAAAGGTGACTGGCATTTAATTATCTAGTAGGCTATCAAGAGTTTACTGGTCTTAAAAAAAATAGAGCTACAACCATTTACCCAATGCTCCTTATCATCGTCTTCTTCTTTATGTTCACCGGCTTTAAACTTCGGCAGAAAGTTCTGGTTTTTCGTCGTTTCTGGACTCATCTGCATAGTCTGTTGGTTCTTTGCCTCTCAGGCAGATGTACTCTGACTTCGAAGGAAGCTCCCAGTTAGTCGACTTTTACGACATGCTTCTGGGCAGGCAGTGGGTCTATTCTTGTTTTTCCCAAAAGGGGGCCCCAAAACCCATACAGGGATCTCCTTATCATTATGTAGCATGTCGTCTGCAGAACATCGCCCTCATCACCGTCTACCTGAAAGAAACTCCTCTCTAGACAGATCTCCTGCCCCGTGTACTTTCATACCTGAGATTTCACTTGTAACCTGTGCACATCTTTGTGCTGGTCAGCCCCTGCCCCATTTTCCTGGTACTACGCCTTCTGCTATTATTCTTTCCAATCCGCTGTGGCGTTTGATTTGGCCAAAATATTTCAGTATCCAAGACAGGATGCTATTTAACAGCAAATTCTCCTTAATGTTCAGATCATTTAGGATGTCAGTAATTCTTTTCTTCTTTGTTCTCCTAAAGTTGTAAAACAGGAAACTCTTCTTCTTTTTCTTCTTCTGCATCAGCACTTATAAGTCAGTTCCTATGATATGCTTGTTAAGGGGCGGTGGGTTTATTTTTGTTTTTCCAAAAATGAGCACTGGAAGCCATGAGGGGAATACTCAATAACTCAGACATTTCAAAGGGTACTTACACAAAGTCACTGTTGAGTGTGTGAGAGCCACTGGTCATTGCTTTAAACTCCACACCATCAAGATCAGTCTCCTCTGGCAAACACCACTCAATAATGTTGCCTGTTTCAGACAGAGAAACAAAATGTTCACTGTTCATAAACAATTCTGTACCTATATTTTTGTTGAGATATCTTGATACTAAAATAATCTGCTTAGTTTTGTAAGAAAACAAATGTGATTTCTACATCTTGTACTTCTGCATCTGCCCTCAAAAACTCAGTTCATTATTTTTTATCCACCCTTTATAACATGGGGAATCCTGGAATTCCCCAGAAAGTCAATTATTATAGGGGTGTTGGGATTTGAAAGGAACGCCAACTAACCCTAACACCCCTAGAATCCTGGACTTTACCCAGAACTTCAGGATTACTCATGTTTGGGGGTGAATGAACAAATTTTTTTAATTTATCTGGCATGTTGTGTGGTGGTTTACTGCTAGGATGACTTCTTCTTTATGCTCACCAGCTGGTAGAAAGCTGTGGCTGTTCATCCCCTTTTGGTCTTTGGTCTTGTTCAAGAATGTGCATGCATATCCATTTTACAAGTCTGGCTTATTCGGTTGCAGACTTGTGGTTCCTCACTTCTCAGGCAGATGCCCTCTGAAGGAAACACCCCTAATTAGTTGCTCTTATGACATGCTTGTTAGCAGGACAGGGGGTCTATTCTGTTTCCAACATGTCTTTCATAAAGTCTGAACCCACAACTATGGAATATGGGCTGAATTGAGTTTCAAACCATTGAAACAGTAGCACAGGTAAAAAATCTTAGTGTATTTGTTTCTACAGCCAGGCACTTTCACAAGCAAAGGTGACACGTTTGATTCTTGGCAAGGTAAACTATAGCTTTCAATTTTCATGCTGTCTAGTGCCCTTCTATCTTTCTACTTCTTTCTATGAGTGTTGATGAGTATGCATCTATTTGTTTATTATATCTATATTGATTTTACATTCTCAAAAGTACCTGTCTGTTTACTTCTGTGTATTACATGCAACACAACATAACTGACCAATAACATCTCCATTTAAAATGCCTGCTGTATCAAGACACAGCAATATGGCAAATGGGCTATCCTCCAAAAAACGGCCAAATATTATGGCGGCCAAAAACACACCCTGACAGGGCCTCAATCACATGTAAATTGCAGACTTCTTTCCGGCGAATATACCGCAGCAAAAGTATGAAAAATTTCCCCCGGTGATGTCGCAAAACGCAACAAACCGCCAAGTTAAACTCGCCGCCGAAAGCATCCTCTGCAGCGCGGACTTATGAGCAGCAGCTACCTGCAGCTTCCTCATTTTATTTGCTCGTGAGTCTCAGCCATCTAGTTTAGCCGCCCTCCACGCCACACGGGAGATACTCTCGGCCGTGAAAACTGCGTTACCAATGTGGCACCGATCATATTTAGCCAAGTTTCAATGGCACCACAGCCACAAAGAGCAGATTTTCGGGCACTGTTTGCAACTTCTGTGCCACTATCTTCAGATATGAAGGCCTCAATTATTGCTAAGTAGTTGATTTCGTCATTTTCCCTTATTTTTCATTCTTCATTATTTTCGGGTTCAAGTTTTTGAATGTTTACAACACACGACCTAATGAAGCCCTGTCAGGGTGTGTTTTTGGCTGCCATAATATGTGGCCGTTATTCGGAGGATAGCCAGCAAATGTGTTTCTAATTGTTGCTTATGCTTGGTTAATATTAATTTCTGTTACCGTTGGTATCATTTCAATAGTCTGAGATGAATTTTGCTCATATTCTCTCAAGTTCAAGTGAGTTAAAGTTGTATGATATTCATGGCTAACAAAGACGCCTTTTTTAGGGGTGCCTAGTTTGTCATGCATCCTAGTTCACTTGTTTCTGCAGTGAGGCACTTTTGTAATTTGAAGCTGACTGATTATTGGCAAAACCCTAATTAGTTTAATTTTTAACATGCTTGTTTACAGCAGGTGACTCCTACACACACACACACACACAATAGGGCCCCGGAACCCATATGCCTACAGGAAACTTCATCATGACTAATTGGAGCTTTCCTCCGAATGGCGTCATAATATTATGGCGGCCATAAAATATCCTAAAATATCCGAACGGGGCTCAGGCATTTCTAAAATACGGACTTTCTGCCAAGGAACATATCGCGTCAAAACTAGGATTACTTGACATATCAACATTTCACACGATAGTAGCAGACGATAAATACTGACCGTTGACAATTTTGAGCGTTTCTGCAGACGATACTAGCAGACGCTATTAGCGACTGCTGACAATTTCGAGACATTACAGACGATGAAAGCAATTAGCAATACTGTTCTTCCGATTGAGGATTTAGCAGCGGTAGATGTCAGACTTGTCGGCATGAGCAAAACGCGATTAAACTCCCCACCAAGCGTATCCCCTGCGCCGCTACGTGGATGGGCTGCTAAACTAGGTGCCTGGGACTCACAAGCAAAGTAATTGAAGGAAGTTGCAGGAGATGCTGTAGCTGCCGCTCGTGAGTCCCAGCAATCTAGTTTAGCCCCTATCCACGCTGCGTGTAGCGGCGCAGGGAATACGCTCGGCGGTGAGGCATAGTCACAGAAACAGGTCCGCAAGTAATATATCGCTGAGATCCTGTTAGAGCATTTGTTTCGTTTTTCCGAGCCAATCCGAGATTTGCCGCGATTTGTTCGTCGGCAGAAAGTTTGACAATGGAAAGTGCAAACGGTCGCTATTATTATCGTCTGTTACTATCCTCTGCAGTGTTGCGTGCATCTCTTAGAATTGTCAGGTAATCAGAAACAATAAGAAACAGGTCCGTATGTAACATATCGCTGAGACCCTGTTAGAGCATTTGTTTTGTTATACGGAGCCAGCATATTTTTAATACAACTGAGCCCAGTTTGGATATTTTATGGCCACCATAATATTATGACACCGTTCGGAGGAGATCCCTAATTGGAGTCTGCAGCTACTACTGCTTAATCACCTATAACATGCAAAGTAGTTTACAGCGTAACCTTTGCTCTTTTATTTATTTTCTCCCTTATGAGTAACGGTAATGGCAACAAAAGGGCGTTAACAGCTTTGTAATTGTTATACAAATTAACACTTAACAAAACAGTCAAGTCTGACAAGCGACTGGTAGGTACTCAAAGTTAGACTTAGACATCACATTAACAACTTGAGAAACACTACAGCACTTGTAGAGAAAATTATATTTGAGTTGACATTACTGCTTCTTTTACATTTATCGTGCTCTGCATTACTAATGTAGCAAACTGCATAATACACACATGTAATGTATGGTTGTTGACTTGTTGTAAAAACTCAAAATCTATTTTATCCCAGATTCCAGGACTCACCCGAACGGGTGTCAAATGCTACGACAAACAGCGCGACAACTGAATCTTGTTCCAACAGTGTTAGCACGCTGCTTCCGCCACTTATGGGCAGTCGTTCTGGCTGTCCATCTGGGTACGGCCCAAGAGACTGTGGCACCAAACTCTTTGGCGTATACCGGGGCAAATCTAGAGATTCGTCATCCTCCAGTAAAGGCAGTCTCTCTTCCGAGGCCATTTTGCATTATCTATTTGTATTTTTATAGATGATCGCCAGAGTAGGTTCCCATGGATCGCTAATTTCAGAAAGTGGGCGTCGCGACTAACTTGGAAGTCACATGTAGAAGCAGTACAGGGAAAAGCATTCAAGAAGCTTGCAGTTATGAAAAAATTAGCGGGTACCACATGGGGCGCTAACTCTAGAATCCTAAAACAAGTATATACTGGAGCAGTCAGGCCAGTCATGGAATATGCCTCCACTGCATGGGCTGCAGCAGCCAAGACAACAATGGGAAAACTGGACAAGGTTCAGAATATGGGATTAAGGATTGTTCTAGGAGCCATGAAAACCACCCCCATCAGAGAAATAGAAAAGATAGCAGATACTGAACCACTCGAACTCAGAAGACAATACAAAACTCTTTAACAGTATGAGAAATTAAAAAGACTTCAAAGTCACGCACTGCATTTTAAATTTCAAGAGAGAACAAAAAACAGACTGAAGCGTCAGAGCCCCAACCACCTTGCTAGAGAACTGTACAGACAGCACCAAGATCTGCTTGAAAGAGATGTTACACTGTGCGAAAAACTTAGGCCAGAACCATGGACAAGCAAGCCAGAGAAAGCAAATGTAGTCCTAAAGGTACCAGGAATCACTTCAAAAGATGCCCAGACGGAGACACAACAGAGAACCCTGGCTCTTGCTATGCTTGATGAGAAGTATCCAAACACCACTTGGACTCAGGTTTTCACCGACGGCTCTGCTATAGATGCAGTCAGAAAGGGGGGTTGTGGAATTTACATTAAACCCCCTAGCAGTAAAGCAGAAACTCTCTCTCTACCAGCAGGTGACATCTGCACTAACTTCAGAGCTGAGGCAACTGCCCTCCTCTCTGCAGTCCAGCATCTCATCACTCAAGAATACAGAGGGCACCAAATTGTTATACTTAGCGACTCATTGTTCTCCAAGCACTATCCAGCAAAAAACAAGACAAAATAATTGCTGATCTAAGGACCAACATTGGCTTACTCTCCAAGGAAGCAGAACTGGTCTTGCAGTGGATACCAGCCCACTGTGGTATTCAAGGAAATGAGAGAGCAGATGAGTTGGCAAAAGCTGGGAGTAATCTTCCACAACCTCATCCACCACACAGCTACAAGGAAACCAAAACAGAGCTAAAGCAGTCTTTCAAGCGGGAGTGGAGAAGGCAGAATGGAGATTACAGACCAGAGAGTGACAGCATAAACAAACTCAACAGGAAAGAACAAACATCAATTCTTAGACTTCGGACTGGACACTGTGGTCTTCGAGCACACTTGTACAGGATAGGCATAAAAGAATCTGCTGCCTGTGATTGTGGAGCAGAAAGACAAACCCGTGAACACATACTGCAGTACTGCCCTTACCTCTCCCAGCAAAGACTGTGGATCTGGCCCAAAGGAGCCACATTGCAAGAGCAGCTATGAGGGGGGGGGGGGAACCGGTGGCGACCTTAAACGCACAATCCTATTTGTGACCCAGACGGGACTCAATGTTTAGCATGACTGATATCGAACGCAGAAGAAGAAGAAGAAGAAGAAGAAGAAGAAGAAGAAAGTGGGCGGACCCTGCCGGAAGAGATTGTATCGTGTTTTAACATTTTACCCAGTCTAGTTCCATATCCACTAAGAAAGATGGTTGTAATGGATCCCTCTCTCCCTCTCTGTTTCTCTTTCTCTCTCTCTTTCTCTCTCTCTCTCTCTCTCTCTCTCTCTCTCTCTCTCTCTCTATCTCTCTCTCTCCGCCTCTCTCAGGATCCTATGTTTTCTAATATGTGAATGGCAATATAATGACTTTTCATAAATACAAATGCAATCCCGTGAGTGGTTGTCGTTAGGGTCCCAGCTCACTGGTTTGCCCAGGGGCCCATAATGGTGCTAAGACAGCTCTGTTCGTGTCAGGTAGTGCTGGGTTACTAAACATAAATTTGCACAGGTTAAGGCGTACACAATTTATCAGCACACATTATCCACCCACGGCATAAGCTATTACCTACACAAAAGGAATACGACTCAAAACAGAGACCTGTCTTGGATGGCCTAGGCTGAAAATTGTATCCAGTAGGTATATGAATTGGGCGAGCTCAGACATGTAAAAGAATGGGCAAATTCACTAGCAGACATGTATAACCACTCTCGGGGAGGGGGTACAGCAGGAACCAGATTCCCCACCCTAGATACTTAGAGAAGGGCCCTGACAGATCAGTATTCACCTTCTGAAGACACAATCGTCAACACTCTGACAAGAGTCCCTGAACGCCACATCCACCAATACAGAACACTAAGTAACCTGCTTGGAAGAACATTGCAACGCTGATGGTATGCCCGGTGTGCAGCGTTGATGATCCTGTAATGAACACACGAGATTCTTGTCCAAAGAATCTATTTATGCATTGTACTGGATAAACAGGGGAAATCCACAGGTCACCGTACAGTCGAATATTTCAGGAGTTGTAGATATGCTGCATGCAGCCGTAGGATCTAGGCTACATGCAGTCGTGGGACCTAGGCTGCAATCTCTCGTGGTACTTAGGTGGTTGGGGTTAGGGCCGGTTCTAGATGTTTTGGGGTCGTTAAAAGCATCTGAAAGCCGGGAAACCCAGTCTTATCACCCTCTAAAATGTTGGACTGTCCTGTGGCATCATCTGGGGAGGGGGTGTAGGATATTAATAAAGTACCCACTTTTTAAATAGCATTTTGTGCACTCCCTTACCCGTCTCGAAGTGCGGGGTACACGCTGGTAGTACTTGCTGTTGCCGTTCATTTTCTCCCAGTTGTTACCCAGTCTTTTCATTTTCAACGAGTACTAAATAAACCACTGTCGGTATGCTAGACCAGTGACATTGTTTTCGAACTTCCTAGAAGGTCACATTTGAACTAGTCTACCACACTCAGACTAATTTAACACAGTTAACAAGAACAAGAAAGAAGAAAATGTCATCATCATCATCGGTGATTTTAATGCAAGAATCGGACACTGGAAGGTAGCAGAAAAATACATTGGAAAATTTGGAGATAACAAGTCAGAAAAACGAAAAAGGCTGCAGTCTCCTTGAGCTATCTTATCAGCGGAATTTATTCATAACTAGCACTTGTTTCCAACACCTGCAGTCTTACATATATACTTGGTATAAATATAATGATCGTAACTGTAACAGTCAGACTATACTAACCAAGAGAAACATGAGAAGAAGGTGGGTAAGCAGTTGTACCCCACAAGGACATAACACAAGCAATATACACCCGGTGACACAAAGTGTCACCATGCGGATGAGCAACATCCGGGGAGAGGTCCCAGAAACCCCTTTCAGCCGTTAGGCCATATCCATGGCTATGCCATATTTATGGTTTGGCTGTATACGGGGCCGCCGGCAAAAGCCAGGGTTGGGCTTCAAAATAACAAAATAGTGCATCCCACAAGGAGACGACTAAAATAACATGAGAAAAGCGATAACAGACGCAAGAATAATCCCAACCCATGTAGACACTGATTACAAGGCGGTTATGCTGAACATGTTGATGAACGGTCATGCTGAACATGTTGATGAACGGTCATGCTGAACATGTTGATGAACAGTGGGAGGAATACTAGAGGACTACATTCAACCACAAAGAAACATAAACAATTATTAACTTACAGAATGCTAACACACAAGAAGCATACCTTCAGAAGATTATTGGAGATTATATCAGGTTAGCTAAAGAAACCAACTCCGCGGAAAAGGGATGGGACATGTTTAAAAGATCAGTTTTAGAAGCACTCGTGAAACATGTAGAATGGTAAAGAATAGAAGCACAAGACCATTCATTAATAACACCCTTGTTGAACGAGAAAGTAAAAACAGCAGTGAAGAAGAAGAAATGTAGATACCAGGTTTGGGTAAAAGTTGAAAATTGAAGATGATCTTGAAGTACAGAAAGGCAAGAACGATAACCAGAGATGTCAGAAACCTCAAAGAAAACGTCATTGCAGAAAAACAGCGAAATATTGAACCTGACCAAAAAAAATTCTACGAAAATTTTTATAACCTTCTTTTTCTCCATTCATCATTCACTTGAAACAGATTTTCTATGTCTGCAATGTAGTGTCTAGTATGAACTAATCTATTGTATTTCAGTCAGCGGCCCGTAAAGTTTGGCTTGCACCGGTGTTTCTCTTGGCCAAAGGTTTTGCTTTAAAATGTTCTCTTTTGGACAGTCTTCGAGGACAACGGGGTCTGTTGTCTCAGGTGCTAATCGTAAATCGTAAATTTTAAATTTTGTTTTCATGTGCCTGCGAAGTCGACTGTGTTCTGTTCTAAGGCGTAGAATATTGACTTGCTTTGGTCTGTCCATTAGATAGTAATCGTCTTTTGGTAATTTTTGGTGACTTTCTGATTGATTTGATTATTCTCTTCTTCTGTTCATAAGATACTAGTACACCAGGTTGTTCTTCATTTGCATATTCCTTAGCTAGTTTATCAGCTCTTTCATTTCCGTGAACTTCCCAGTTTTTACTTTTCTCCAGACTATGCCATCGTGGTGGGTAATGAACAGGCAGATAGATTGGCTGGATCTGGGTAGTAAACTGATACATGACAAGGCAGATGTGGTCAAGGCCCTTTGGAAACAAGCAACGGAATCAGTAGAGAAAGAAGATTATTTTGGCCTGGAAAGAATGAGGCACCTGGGTGTAACCAGAATGTCTGGCCGGCTCTCTACACTCAGAGGAAAGGCAAGACGGACATATAACTAGATTGTGACCGGTACCATCAGTGCTGGAACTCTGCGCTGGCTGCTCAAGATGAGGACGGAGCATGCATGGAAATGCCCTGAGTGCTGTGATGACAATTCTTGACTCAACGCAACTCCCCTCAACTGAAAGTCGGATGGTATCCATTGCACTGCACCGGTTGCCTAGTTCAGAGAGTAGTTTGCGTAAACCATGTAAATTTTCCAGATTGGAGTGCCTGAAGTACCGCTCTTGCATTGTCAGGAATA